TTCAAAGGAAACTCCAGTGATGGCTGCCACACGCATCCAAAGATGGGGACTGATACTTGCTTAATTCAACTACGAGATTGAATACAGAACCTCTAAGCAGATTGCTCCAGCTAATGGGTTGTCACGACTGTCCCACATATCAGTGCAAGATGACAGTGGAGATCACAACAGTGAGTTGATCCTCCTTATCAGTAGGTTTGGCGAAGAATTGGCTATCACTGCAAGGCAAGTTGCTATGGAAACTGGGAAAGACCCAGTGCTACGAAAAGTTTAATTGCTCACACTGGAAGGATGGCCACAGTATATTGAGGGAGATCAAACAGACTTGAAGCCATATTTCCAAAGAAAACTCGAACTGAGTGTGGAGCAAGGTGTTGTCTTATGGGACACAAGAGTAGTTATCAGAGAGACACTTCAGAGAGGCACTGTTGGAAGAGCTGCATGGTGAACATTCAGGAATGGTAAGAATGAAGTCGGTGGCCAGATCAATCATGTGGTGGCCAGGACTAGACAGTCAGATTGAGGAAAAGGCGAGACCATGTCTTGATTGCCAGGAGATAGCAAATCAACCTGTGGTCGCCATGGTCACGACTTCATATCGACTTTGCCGGACCATTCCAAGGACACTCCTTCTTAGTCGTGGTGGATGCACACTCCAAATGGATGGAAGTTATTCCATTATCGTTAACCACAGCCACAGTCACTATCAAGCATCTCAAATCTTCTCAACATTTTGTCTTCCAGAGCACATTGTATCGGACAATGGGGCACAGTTTACCTCTGAAGAATTCCAGACATTCTTGAGGAGGAACAACATTCGTCACCCTAGGAGAGCGCCAAAACATCCAGCTACTAATGGACAAGCCAAAAGAGCTGTGGAATCTTTCAAGATGGCACTAAAGAAAATGAAAAACCAAACAGGTGATGTTCATGACAAACTGCAGAGGTACTTATTCTCATACAGAACGACTGTCCATGCTGCAACAGGGAAGACCCCAGCTGAGTTGCTCATGAGGCGCTCATTACGATCTCGGTTATCAGCGTTGAGACCGACACAAGAAGGATTGATGATAAAAAATGATGATGCAGAAACTTAAGTGCCAACATTCTTCAATGTGGGACAAGCTGCCTTTCTTTTGAACTTTGGAGTTCAAGGCTCAAGATGGGTACAGGGGACAGTTTTGGAACGACTGGGTGATAGGAATTATCATGTCTCCGTCGGACAACAGGTATGGAAGAGACATGTTGACCAGATGAGACCACGTCTGGAAGTTTCACGACAGTCAGTACAAGGTAGCCCAGAGATGTCAGTGTTTCTGGAATCAGCAGAAAGCACAGTGATGGCACAGCAACCATGTGTTCTTGTGGGACCTAAGGGGTTGACAGAACCAAAAGTGGAAATTGAAGTCAACCAGAAGCAGGTATCGGATGCAGAAGAACTAAAGGAGAGGCGTTACCCTACCCGAGATCGACGTCCTCCAGTTCGATATGAGTGTGAGAAGTTAAAAGACTGTAAATGTGTTGTCAGTGTTATTCAGTAAATATTAGCGCCCACATTAGGCCATGTTCCTTTCAAAGTAAGAATATGGACATTTAAGTTTACTGCTAAAGACTTTAATTTGTTCAAATGGAAGAGTTTGCTTTTAATCAGTTTTCAATATTGCAGTTGTGTTACATTTTCTTGCAATTTTGTAGGAGCAACCAGAAAGTTTCCAGCGGTGAAAACTTAGAGGGGAATGGTGTAGTGTATGGACTTGTGTGGTAGATACATATATGGGAGACAACTCCTGCAGCCTTATGTGACGGTAGCGGCAAGCTGATTAGAGTTTCGTCCCTTGGGGACCCCTGCTTGTAACCCCCACTTCCTGAGTAAACGCTCAACGTAGAAGTCATGGTATTTTGTGTTCTGTTCGGCCACGGCCTTGTGTATAAGATTCAACTACACAACAGTTATGAAATGAGGAAGGTTAACAATGTATGGATGAACAACTTCTCTATTGCTGTGACAGCGACGTTTCGGTGTAGGTTCTAACACCGTTATCAAGCAAGTGATGAACAACTTCTCTATTGCTGTGACAGCGACGTCTCGGTGTAGGTTCTAACACCGTTATCAAGCAAGTGATGAACAACTTCTCTATTGCTGTGACAGCGACGTCTCGGTGTAGGTTCTAACACCGATATCAAGCAAGTGATGAACAACTTCTCTATTGCTGTGAGAGCGACGTCTCGGTGTAGGTTCTAACACCGTTATCAAGCAAGTGATGAGCAGCATAAGGATGAAGGAGCATATCTACAAGTAGAGTAGATGTTTGCACAGTACAATAGGGATTAGGAAGTCAGACACAATAACAACACAAGGCCTTGGATAAAAACGTTAACAAATGAGGCCTACAAAGTACACAAGGGGATAGTGAAGCATGTGGTATAGATAAACGGGGGATTATCGGTGATGAAGATCTTTAATGAGTTGGTAGTATACAGGATGTATGTAATAACCTTGGTCACGGTTGATTGATGGCTGGAGTCCTTTGATGTAGATGGCTTCTTGGAGTTTCCTGAGTTTAAAGTCTTTGAGGGTGGTTGTTAGGGTTTGGGTTCTGTCCCACTAGATACTATGGTCGGGATTGTCTTGGATGTGATCGGATAGGGCTGATTGTGAGTCAAGTTTAGATACTGAGGTCAGATGCTCTTTGATTCGGGTTTTGAGGGATCTTGAAGTTTCACCTAAGTAGGTCTGTGCACAATCGCATGGGATGTGGTAAACTGATCTCAGTGGTTGTTTCTGGCTGGTTGGTGGTTTGCCAGTTGCTTTGATGGTGTCGAGGATGTGACTGGCAAACCGGGTTCTGAAATGCACTACAAACCTCCTCAGATACACAGAAAATTATAGAATTGTTTAGCAACGTATATTTTTGTGTACACAAGAGGAAGTGACTATTGCCTCTCATCTCGCAATACATCTCAAGCCATAAGAATCTGATGGTCATACCTTGGATACTCTCTGCCTCGACCTCTCTTGGAAGTTGGATTACAGTTCCTGAGAGGTGAAAATTACCACCACTGTCTTCACTGCTATAATCACTGCTCCTGTATGATAACATCCCTGAACTGTACCGCCACGCTATTGTATTGTCATAGTGATATATTCGCCATTAATTGTCACCCGTTGTGTCGTAGAAGATACTTTCACAAAATTACCAAGTTTTACAAAATGGTCAATAACACTACGCCAAGTTATCTCAGTAACCCTGTTCCGCCTAGAGTATCAGATGTCGTTGGTTATAATCTGCGTGATAATTCAAAACTTCAGACAATAACTGTAAATCTGTAAATTATGCGAGGTCCTTTCTTCCAGATACTGTTAAATTATGGAATTCATTACCAGTCGAACATAGAGAATTACTCTGCCTATCGAGATTCAAAAATATAATTTAAATGATTTCAATATCTACAGTCATTTTGACTTAAATTTCGGTAGCAGATTTTGTCAGATCATACATTCTCGTCTCCGACATAAATGTAGTGACCTTAATGCGCACAAATATGAAAGATTTATATCTCCAACATCATCTTGCTCTTGTGGCCATGACTATGACGATTCTGCTCATTATTTATTTTCATGTACTCTTTACAACGATATACGTCAAATTATGTATATTTATACTAAAGGGTTTGACCTAAAATCAATTTTGTTTGGAAATCAAAACTGTTCTGCTCCAGAAAATGAAGAACTTTTACTTTCAAGACACATTTGATCCAAAATAATTTGTTTACATGACATATATTGTTTTAACAATGATTGGCGTTATTTCTCGTTTTTTCAACTTTTATATATCATTTACATTGTACATTCATCATGACATGTTTACTCTTCCGTCTATTGTATCCCGGAGCGGTATTCATATAAGCGTATGCTTGTTTACCAATCCGGTTCCTTTCATTGGAAATAAATATGTCTAAATCATATATTCGCAAGTATTTGTATTTGAATTCTGAAATATGTGAATTTTAAAACAGAATTGTTAATTACAACACATTTCATCTTTGTTTGTTGGTTTCACACCAAGTTCGTTTTATGAACCGATTCCCTGCTAACATTTAAGCAAGTTAAGAGGTCGACATCTTGTGTGACGTGTGTGTGACGGATTCCTGATGACGATGCTGAAAATAACTCCTCAAAACATAAATCTTCTAGGTAAAAACCAACACAGTAATAACATCCGGGTTATAGAACACACGCTGGTGACCTATCTCTTTGATGTCACTGGATAAGATCTCACTGACAGTGTCACCTACCAGACAAGCACACCACACCATCAAGTCCTCGACTAACAGTTAAATATTCAAATCTTACTGGTGTAACAATATATTTCAGGGCGGACACCACAAGGAGTTGTTCCAGTGTCGACCGTTATTTGTCCTTCCTGTTAGTTGTGTCGGCAGGAAGTAGGACAACACGTCACACTACATCAGGAGTGAGTGAGTATGGTTTTATGGTGCAAGCAATTTCACGGCGGGGGACACCAGAAATGGGTTTTACACATTGTACCCATGTGGGGAATCGAACCCGGATCTTCAGCGTGACGAGCGAACGCTTTAACCACAAGGCCACTCCACCGCCCCCGTACCACAGGAAGTGTGCGAAGTGATACTGCTATGTTGTAGATCTTACCTTGGAAATCTACAATAAATCCCCTTTCTGTCATAGAGTTATTCAGTAAGCCAACTTTGAGCGGAACATTTGAATTGACTAAGGCATCACCGTGGAAACTCATGTTTACGGGCAAGCATTGTTTGGAATGTCTTGGGACAGGTCGTCTAGCGTAGTGCTAAGGTCAATATCAACAAAAAGTCCAACGCAGCAGCTCCTGGTGGTCAAGGGACACAACTCTCCAATGCAGCTGTAGAGCTTCTGCCCATTCTGTATTTCATGCCTTCTGTACAAACTTATGTATTTCATCCCAAAACAAAACTGAACAACTTATCACATCGACGACAAATGAAAATGAAATATGTCTGTTTATTCAAAAGAATGAAAGGCGGATTGTTCGCTATGTTGCTTGTACATCCAAAACATATGTTGGTAAACTGTCAATGCCTTTGTCGTGTTTCAGTTTAATGTATAAATAACACGCTATGTTGAGTAGACCTCCCAGTAGGTAGATGGACGCTGCCAGATAGAAGGAGGCGACATAGCGACCAGTGAAGTCAAACAGGGAACCTGAAAACAACAAACCATGAAACCATACGTGAATAGCAAGCCAAGGATTCACAAGGAACTCGTTACGTCCACAACATACACACGCAGATATACATAGACACTCGCCATTCACTTGCCTCACTGTGTGAGTGAGTGAGTGAGTGAATTAAATAAATTTATCATTTGCGATTTATATATACATATTTGCCATCGAGAAATCTTAAATACTTTATTCTCAAATCATTAAATTCTGGACATTGTAGTAAAATATAAAATTCATCCTGGACTTGTCCGCTGTTACAATGGTTACATAAAGTGTGCTGTCTTTCAGCATCCTTATTTCGTCCGGTTGCATTTACATTCAAATTATTTAGAGAAATTATTTAACACTAAACTAGTGACGTCATACAGCATTGTGCAGGGTGGAGTTGTGTCCCTCTATAAAGCTAACATCACAAAGTATATCAATGTGAACATCAATCTTTCTATTTAACACTAAACTAGTGACGTCATACAACATTGTGCAGGGTGGAGTTGTGTCCCTCTATAAAGCTAACATCACAAAGTATATCAATGTGAACATCAATCTTTCTACTTAACACTAAACTAGTGACGTCATACAACATTGTGCAGGGTGGAGTTGTGTCCCCCTATAAAGCTAACATCACAAAGTATATCAATGTGAACATCAATCTTTCTATTTAACACTAAACTAGTGACGTCATACAACATTATGCAGGGTGGAGTTGTGTCCCTCTATAAAGCTAACATCACAAAGTATATCAATGTGAACATCAATCTTTCTACTTAACACTGAACTAGTGACGTCATACAACATTGTGCAGGGTGGAGTTGTGTCCCTCTATAAAGCTAACATCACAAAGTATATCATTGTGAACATCAATCTCTCTTCTTAACACTGAACTAGTGACGTCATACAGCATTGTGCAGGGTGGAGTCGTGTCTCCCTATAAAGCTAACATCACAAAGTATATCAATGTGAACATCAATCTTTCTACTTAACACTAAACTAGTGACGTCATATTGTGCAGGGTGGAGTTGTGTCCCTCTATAAAGCTAACATCACAAAGTATGTCAATGTGAACATCAATCTTTCTATTTAACACTGAACTAGTGACGTCATACAGCATTGTGCAGGGTGGAGTTGTGTCCCCCTATAAAGCTAACATCACAAAGTATGTCAATGTGAACATCAATCTTTCTATTTAACACTGAACTAGTGACGTCATACAGCATTGTGCAGGGTGGAGTTGTGTCCCCCTATAAAGCTAACATCACAAAGTATATCAATGTGAACATCAATCTTTCTACTTAACACCAAACTAGTGACGTCATACAGCATTGTGCAGGGTGGAGTTGTGTCCCTCTATAAAGCTAACATCACAAAGTATATCAATGTGAACATAAATCTTTCTACTTAACACTAAACTAGTGACGTCATACAGCATTGTGCAGGGTGGAGTTGTGTCCCTCTATAAAGCTAACATCACAAAGTATATCAATGTGAACATCAATCTCTCTACTTAACACTGAACTAGTGACGTCATACAGCATTATGCAGGGTGGAGTCGTGTCCCCCTATAAAGCTAACATCACAAAGTATATCAATGTGAACATCAATCTTTCTACTTAACACTGAACTAGTGACGTCATATTGTGCAGGGTGGAGTTGTGTCCCCCTATAAAGCTAACATCACAAAGTATATCAATGTGAACATCAATCTTTCTATTTAACACTAAACTAGTGACGTCATACAACATTATGCAGGGTGGAGTTGTGTCCCTCTATAAAGCTAACATCACAAAGTATATCAATGTGAACATCAATCTTTCTACTTAACACTGAACTAGTGACGTCATACAACATTGTGCAGGGTGGAGTTGTGTCCCTCTATAAAGCTAACATCACAAAGTATATCAATGTGAACATCAATCTCTCTACTTAACACTGAACTAGTGACGTCATACAGCATTATGCAGGGTGGAGTCGTGTCCCCCTATAAAGCTAACATCACAAAGTATATCAATGTGAACATCAATCTTTCTACTTAACACTGAACTAGTGACGTCATATTGTGCAGGGTGGAGTTGTGTCCCCCTATAAAGCTAACATCACAAAGTATATCAATGTGAACATCAATCTTTCTACTTAACATTAAACTAGTGACGTCATACAGCATTGTGCAGGGTGGAGTTGTGTCCCTCTATAAAGCTAACATCACAAAGTATATCAATGTGAACATCAATCTTTCTACTTAACACCAAACTAGTGACGTCATACAGCATTGTGCAGGGTGGAGTTGTGTCCCTCTATAAAGCTAACATCACAAAGTATATCAATGTGAACATCAATCTTTCCACTTAACACTAAACTAGTGACGTCATATTGTGCAGGGTGGAGTTGTGTCCCCCTATAAAGCTAACATCACAAAGTATATCAATGTGAACATCAATCTCTCTACTTAACACTGAACTAGTGACGTCATATTGTGCAGGGTGGAGTCGTGTCCCCTATAAAGCTAACATCACAAAGTATATCAATGTGAACATCAATCTTTCCACTTAACACTAAACTAGTGACGTCATACAGCATTGTGCAGGGTGGAGTTGTGTCCCCCTATAAAGCTAACATCACAAAGTATATCAATGTGAACATCAATCTTTCTATTTAACACTAAACTAGTGACGTCATACAGCATTGTGCAGGGTGGAGTTGTGTCCCCCTATAAAGCTAACATCACAAAGTATATCAATGTGAACATCAATCTTTCTACTTAACACTAAACTAGTGACGTCATACAGCATTGTGCAGGGTGGAGTTGTGTCCCCCTATAAAGCTAACATCACAAAGTATATCAATGTGAACATCAATCTTTCTACTTAACACCAAACTAGTGACGTCATACAGCATTGTGCAGGGTGGAGTTGTGTCCCTCTATAAAGCTAACATCACAAAGTATATCAATGTGAACATCAATCTTTCTACTTAACACTAAACTAGTGACGTCATACAGCATTGTGCAGGGTGGAGTTGTGTCCCTCTATAAAGCTAACATCACAAAGTATATCAATGTGAATATCAATCTTTCTACTTAACACTAAACGTCAGCCGCCTACCTGCTATTGGAGAAGCTACGGTGATAGATATCCCACTCAGGAAGATGGTCAGTCCCAGAGCGTTACCGGTATGCTGGACCCCGACGATGTCCGTCAAAACAATGGGGGTGAAGGCCGTCCACGTGCCTGGGGATACACGTGCATTCATAAAGTGTGTGAGTGAGTGTCTGAGTTAAATGTCTCGTCACCTGAAACAATGTGTCAGTTATATCAGGTTGTGTCAGCGAACATCAACAGGCTTGGACCATGAGCGCGTCAGGCAACAAAACAAACATGTTTCTGTAAACTGTGCTAACAACAGAGGCTAACAACAGAGGCTACCAATAGGGCAGGACATGCTGATTTTCAATGATCCAAAAACCTTTTCACCAAATATCTTTCTTTCATGACAAATGGAATCTGTTTGTCTCATGAAGACATAATCAAGGGAAACTGCTACAGGAGCTAATGATGCTTCTGGTATGTCCAAAGGACGCAGCACCTTGGTTGCTGTGCAATACGTGCCCTCTCATCAGGATGGTGCATTGCTTAGTAACCTTGGAAACAGATGAAGCAAAACCCCATATAAGTCAATTATGTTTGTAAGTTAATATTTCTGAATTTCTTTTATGATTGTTCTGAAGAGTACATGGATCCAGATACAACCACGTGACTTACCTATGAACGCTCCTTGAACAGCAGCATATACAGCAAACAACGTATACGTCTTTACCATCGTGCACAACAACGTCCCCGCGCCGCAAATCAACAACATGACGGCATAAAACAAGATTCTACTGACACATCTGAAGTCTGCGATGTAACCAAATAGAAGTCTTCCCAGAATGCCCACAAAACCCATGATGGATACCAGGAAGGAGGCGTCGCCCTTGGCAACCCCTGTGAGACGCGCCAGGTCTGGGAGGTGGACGTAGGGCACCATGACGCCGAGATGTGTGGCTGCAGTGGCTGCTAGGAAGATGAGGAAGGGACGGTGGTTCATCACAGCGAACAAGCTGTGGAAGGATACGCAGCTTGGACGCCGGCGTCGTTGATGTGCTCCTGCAAACGTCATCATCTACTTTAGATTCTGTCGGTTTCTGTTTTGTCTGTGCAATCAGTTGAATTTAGCACTTCTTTAAACTTTGAAAACGGTTCTTCAGTTTTGCTTATTTGGGAAGAAAACCAACAATAACGTTAATGATTTTGGTGAAGCTACCATGGCAGGGGGTCGGTGGTGACAAAGTATTTAGAAAAGTCGACCAACAAAGGGTGATTCCAGCCTATGTATCTACATTAATACGGGATTGAACTAAACTAAGTATTGCAATCTGATAATCTTGATGTATTTTAGTACAAATTCTTTAATTTGATTAGATTCTTTATTTTTCATTTGGTCCTTGTCTCGTAGCTTTCTATACTAATACAATTACACTTTCGTATTCACCTACATGTATGCATACATCAGAACCCTTATGTACCTGACATTGACTGCAATGGGTTGAGTGTGAAGGCTCGATGTTGAAGGAAAACACCATGTGATGCAGGCGATACACCTGAACACTTTGGTAACACCCACGGGCACGATTCACATAGGATGCCCATGTCACCTTTAGCCATCATAGGATGCCAATGTCACCTTTAGCCATCATAGGATGCCAATGTCACCTTTAGCCATCATAAGATGCCCATGTCACCTTTGGCCATCATAGGATGCCCATGTCACCTTTAGCCATTATAGGATGCCCATGTCACCTTTGGCCATCATAAGATGCCCATGTCACCTTTAGCCATTATAGGATGCCCATGTCACCTTTAGCCATCATAGGATGCCCATGTCACCTTTAGCCATTATAGGATGCCCATGTCACCTTTAGCCATCATAGGATGCCCATGTCACCTTTAGCCATTATAGGATGCCCATGTCACCTGTAGCCATCATCTTTTACCTAGCAAACATTGCAGTTGCTGGGAACTACCTGCAACTACGTTAAAGAAGTATTTACTTTGTATCTGTTGTGCAGTGATATAGGCTGGCATTCTGAACAGTCCCCCACAGACGACGAGGTTGAGTGCCACCCCCGACAGCACCATCATCATCCCCTGCCAGCCGTACTCCGTGATCAGCGCCCTGTAGAGCTGGGGCAGGCACATTGTCCCGACTCCAGCACCTATAGCTGATGTGGCGATGGCGAAACTAATCCTCTTTCTGAAGTAGACGGTTACAGCCACCAGACTCGGGACGATCGACAGCCCAAGTCCCATCCCTGCCAAGCAGACCATCATTGAAAACTGGTTACGGGTGGGTGCTTAGAACATCATTGTAAATTGGAAACCCTTGAAACCCATATATGATTAGGCCTGATTTTGCAATATTATACACTTTCGGTTTTTATCACAAATATTATGATACAGAGACAAGATAAAGAGAAACAATAATTGCCAAGTTCTGACACATTACGTAAGCTGCGCCACACATGATATGCTTGTTAAGCTTTCTATTACAGAATATGTATTATATATATGTTAATGTGCAACAGGTGCGCGCTTTGTCAACAACCATGTTTACGTAAAGCATGAAATCAACCCTGTATCATCATGCCGATCAGATATCAGACAGTATTGTGTTCCTGGACAGTTTCCATACAGATGTTACATAACAACACAACGCACAGTATTTTTGTTGTTGTATGTAAGGCAGAAAGTGGCGAAAATAGCGAAAAACACTTTAAGCAGTTTTTGTTTGTTTTGCAACCAGGCCAATCCTTGCCTTTAGTCCAGGAACTAAATGGGTTACACACTTTTTACTGTCAGGCGTAGAAACTGAGCAGCCTGATCTCAATACTCGCACAAAGGTAGCCTGCAAATTCATAAGAATGTATGTGCTTCAGAAAATCAGTCATCCTGAGAGTTAACCAAGATTCTACACTTAAGAATTCTCGAATTCTGATTGGTCCAAATTAGATTCAAATCATGTATCCAATTCCAATCGATAACTGACATGCCCATTCGATCACGCCTGCCATGAAACCTGTTGAAACCTTACTGTCCCGCGGTGCTCTATGATATCTTCGTGACCTGAACATGCTCAAAGGTAACGACATATAAACACCAATATGCAAGCTGTTGGAATATTTATCCATATAACGGTAAACTCGGCCATTGTCAACTTGCAATCATTCCCCTGTCATCCGCATCCGGGTTTGTGAAAAAGTAGTAAACCTCACCATTCAGATACAAACCAGGACGTTTTACAGAGGACTCGTTTTGATAGAAATATCTGTAAACGCAATGATTTAGCAGAAATATACAAGGAACAAAGCTTTAGTTCCATACAACCGTAAGGTCAGGACAATGGCTTCTGCCTGTATACCTACAGTCTATGCGTTGTGAAAGTGTGATGTAAGTGTGATGTTTGTCACTGTGTCCCTCCACTCACCTGACACCGTGATGTAACTGTGATACCACTGTGTCCCTCCACTCACCTGACACCGTGATGTAAGTGTGATACAGGTGTGTCACTGTGTCCCTCCACTCACCTGACACCGTGATGTAAGTGTGATATAGGTGTGTCACTGTGTCACTCAACTCACCTGACACCGTGATGTAAGTGTGATACAGGTGTGTCACTGTGTCCCTCCACTCACCTGACACCGTGATGTAAGTGTGATACAGGTGTGTCACTGTGTCCCTCCACTCACCACCGTGACACCTTGTGTCATGTAACCTGTGTGATATAGGTGTGTCACTGTGTCCCTCCACTCACCTGACACCGTGATGTAAGTGTGATATAGGTGTGTCACTGTGTCCTCCACTCACCTGACACCGTGATGTAAGTGTGATACAGGTGTGTCACTGTGTCCCTCCACTCACCTGACACCGTGATGTAAGTGTGATACAGGTGTGTCACTGTGTCCCTCCACTCACCTGACACCTTGATGTAAGTGTGATATAGGTGTGTCACTGTGTCCTCCACCACCTGACACCGTGATGTAAGTGTGATACAGGTGTGTCACTCCCTCAACTCCACCTGACACCGTGATGATGTAAGTGTGATACAGGTGTGTCACTGTGTCCCTCCACTCACCTGACACCTTGATGTAAGTGTGATACAGGTGTGTCACTGTGTCCCTCCACTCACCTGACACCGTGATGTAAGTGTGATACAGGTGTGTCACTGTGTCCCTCCACCTCACCGTGACACCGTGATGTAAGTGTGATATAGGTGTGTCACTGTGTCCCTCCACTCACCTGACACCGTGATGTAAGTGTGATACAGGTGTGTCACTGTGTCCCTCCACTCACCTGACACCTTGATGTAAGTGTTATACAGGTTTGTCACTGTGTCCCTTCACTCACCTGACACCTTGATGCAAGTGTGATATAAGTGTGTCACTGTGTCACTCCACTCGCCTGACACCTTAATGTAAGTGTGATATAGGTGTGTCACTGTTTCTCCCCAATCACCTGACACCGTGATGTAAAATGTGTGTCTCTGTGTCCCTCAACTCACCTGACACCGTGATGTAAGTGTGATACAGGTGTGTCACTGTGTCCCTCCACTCACCTGACACCGTGATGTAAGTGTGATACAGGTGTGTCACTGTGTCCCTCCACTCACCTGACACCTTAATGTAAGTGTGATATAGGTGTGTCATTGTGTCCCTCCACTCACCTGACACCTTGATGTAAGTGTGATATAAGTGGGTCACTGTGTCCCTCCACTCACCTGACACCGTGATGTAAGTGTGATACAGGTTTGTCACTGTGTCCCTCCACTCACCTGACACCGTGATGTAAGTGTGATACAGGTGTGTCACTGTGTCCCTCCACTCACCTGACACCTTATGTAAGTGTGTCACTGTCCCTATCACCTGACACCCGTGTGTCACCTTAATGTAAGTGTGATATAGGTGTGTCACTGTGTCCCTCCACTCACCTGACACCTTAATGTAAGTGTGATACAGGTGTGTCACTGTTTCCCTCCACTTACCTGACACCTTGATGTAAGTGTGATAGATAGATAGATTATCTTTATTTCCTCCAAAAATATGAAGATTGTTTCATGTTACAACAAAGTGTCAAGTTGAATATACAATGACTCAGTAGACAGTTAATTGTGCAGATATTTTAGAATGACAGACTGACATAAACTCAGCCACTAATAACATAACTTCCGCCCATTCTGTCATATTTAAGTTACCAAGTGTTGTACAAGATCCACCAAGTAAATCAGCAATTATTACATCGTCATCATTTTCCCAAAAGTCAACAAAATCAGATATTGATATAATATCACAAACCCTTTCAAACATTTCATTTCTCAAATCATTAAGATGTGTACAGGACATAATAACATGTTTAACAATATCAGAAGCTACTATTCCACATATACACTCTCTGGATTCAATCTTTTACAGCCAATGTGAATAATATGAGAGAGTTTGTAAAATTTAGGCTTTTAATCAAGGCTAGTTCCCACAGTCTACTTGGATTAAAAGGCTCTCGGATAAGGCAATATCTTGAGAGATCCTCTCTCACTGCTATCTGATGACACAACAGACTCTCGTAAGCATCACAGATTCTGGATTTAACAATATCATTCCATTTTGCTTTAGTACATATAACCCCTGTTGTGATGTATGTATTAACAGCGTCAAACAAGCCATACTTGTTTACGAGCTTAACCATGTACAGGATAGGTGACGGGGATTTACCAATGGTAGTCATACATCTGATTCAAATAGACGATGAAGAAATAATTGTTTAACAACATAGGCATCATTTAGACGGCAGATTCTACCAAACATAAGCAAACAAGATTTTTCTATATACCCTTGAATTGGCAGTAGGCCCAGGGTATCTAGAACCACAGGAGAAGCAGTGCGTTTAGGCAGACCTTGTACCTTTCTACAGAAATACCTTTGTGTTAACTCCAACACGTCCAATTCTTTTGACGTTAAGCTGCTCCAAACAGTACAACCATATAAAGCACATGGTAAAATGACATTGTTCCATATACGACAAGCACAAATAGGATTGAGTGAACCATAGCACAAGCCAAGGTCATGATACATATTAACCAGTTTACGTGCTTTTTCACATGATGACATTGTTCTATCATACGATTTATTACATGAAGACAACTGAACTCCAGCGTACGTAACAGATTGCATGAGAGGGATGGCCACAGAACCAAGATACAGACTAACTGGTGTAAGATATCTGTCTGTATTGAATACAAGCAAGGCACTTTTACTGACGTTATACTTCAATTTCCACTTCAAACCATAATCGTACACAGCTTCTAGAAGAGTCTGAGAATTATGTGGATTGCTGGAGGTTAAAGTAGTATCATCAGCAAGAAGAATACCTGGACAGTGTCCCCATGGAAGCTGGAGACCTAGACCCGACTTATCTAAACTCTGCATTAGATCGTTGATGTACAGGCTGAATAGCCAAGCGGAAATGACTCGCCCCTGTCCTACACCTTGACTGATTCTAAAGCTATCAGACAGGAAACCAGCATAGGAAACACATGATTGCATGGACAAGTATGACATTCGAAGCAGTCTCCAGATTTTACCTCTTATACCGAGATTATACAGTTTGAGAAACAATCCATCCAACCAAACTCGGTCAAAGGCCTTCTCATTATCGAGAAATACACAAAACACTGGGGATTTTCTTTCTCTATAGTATGAAGTGGTTTCTATCAAGGTCAGTGCAGCTGTATCAGCTCCAAGATGTTTTCGAAACCCAAACTGGAGGCGATGTGGATAGTTACTTAGCTTAAGTGAAGCCCATCTTTCAATTCTAGACAAAATGAGACGTTCAAATAGTTTGCCTATAGTTGATGTAAGGGTTATCCCACGGTAATTGAGGGGTCGCATTTACTCTTCCCTTTCCCTTTATGTATTGGTATGATATGTCCAATATTATATATCTCTGGGATATACTCATACTTTTAAGATGTTATTAAACAGGACACAGAGCTGGGATGTTAGGGACCTGCCTGCATACTTTAAGTGCTCATTACACAAGCTATCAGGGCCAGGAGATTTGCCATTCTTAAGGCGTTTTAATGAAGAGACGATTTCATCACTGGTAAATGGAACATCCAATATTTCTTGAAAAATATCTTGCTTGTTGTGAACAATAGAAGACATTTCCTCACAAACACCCTTTGAAAATCATGGTCATAATCGTCTAGTTCAGAAGGTGTAGCAAGTTTACAGAAATATTTGCCAAATGAGTTACATATCTC